GACTCTCTTTTCGGTCTCAACCCTGACTAAACCTCAAACTTGTATTCACACTACCTTCAGTCCAATCCAAGAAAAGTTTATGAGAGAGCATAGCAATGACTACTTGAATCAATAGACTTATTTCTCCGATCTTGATTGATCCACTTATAATCACACTTAGGAAGGATCCACTAGTGCCGTGCTAAATAGTTACGGACCAGCCTATTTGCCACTCATAGCAAACTTAGGGGAGGTTTACTTTCACCCATGGTACAAGGAACAACTCATGGAACCAACGAAATCCTACCAACTCAAAGTGTAACCTTGAGTTGCTAATGTGCCTCACTCACAAGCCCAAGCGAAAATTTGTGCAAATGGAATATCTCACATCCATCTTATGAGCCCAAGAGCAAGCTCACATAATATTATACAAAAAGGTAACCAAAATCCATACTCAAGGAATGAATGCAAAGCCTTTGCACCCAAACGTGTACCCACTCAGATTATCGTTTCATCTCTGCGTATGCAATAAGACTAGTTGCCCAATCTCATTGGATAGTACTCGCCAAGACTCATCCTCTAATACCAAATGTAGCGCATGTAGTTTTTACCCTTTATTCTATGGTGATTTACCATAGGATAACCATGGAGCGGAACCTAAACCCTGTGACATATGCCACGTGTCCAAAGGATAGTTGTGTGGAACCCGAGTTTCAGGGCTTTGGGCCACCGAATGAACGAACGGTGCCAAACTCCCGCCAAGGAGCAATGGCACTGGAGCATGGAATGACTCCTAATATACATTTGAAGAAGACTATCATCTAGATGGCAATATGTTAAGTGCCAGCTTTGACCATGTGGTCAACGTGGGCTCAAGGGTATATTAAGACATGTTAATGCAATGGAGCTTTTGAGGTAGTTTGGGGGTGGTGAAGAACCTCAAGAGAAGGCATAGCATAATCTTTTATTTTTTAGTGCTAGGTCATAACATTGATATTAGAGGGGTTGGTTGTGATGGTCAACCAAAATGAATGCTAAAATTCTAGTGTCAATAGTGGTGTTGATGGAATAGTGGAGGTTTGAATTATTCAAAATGTTCTTCATGAGCTATGAACCCTTAATCAAAATCAATAAGAGATGTAAGACAAGATGCATGGCATGATAGATATCAGGCATGTTAAGGTACTCAATACTAGATATGGCGGTACTCCATGTAAAACTTCCTTGGTGGATCAATTTAAAATTCCAACATTTTTTAGTGATGGTGGTGTGGATGAGTGTTTGGCTTGGCTAGTTAATATGAAAAAGTTTTTAGTTGCTAAAGGAACTCTAGATGTAAAGGCATTAGTGGATATTCTAATGGTTTTGCATGATGTGGGTCTTTGGTGGTGGAATTGGTTTGAGGAATCTCATGTTGTAAATAAAAAATCACTAATGTTTACCATGGATGAGTTTAAAGTTGTTTTCCCTTTATGTTTTGCCCCTCACTATAATGTGGAGAATGCTCGCACAAAATTTTGGCATTTCCAGCAAGGGATAATGATGCTCATGGATTATATTGAGAAGTTTACTCATTTAATTAGCCGTATTTCAACAAAAAATCAAAATCAGAATAAATCTTACTTCATTAATGGCTTTCATAATAAAAGCATGTAACAACACTTGTGCCATTTTTAGCCTACAAAAAGTTTGAAGGAGTTATTTAATATAGTTTGTCAACTTGACAATGACAAGCACAATTCTCACAAGCATTTAAGAAGTCCTTCTATAAAAAATTGTCATGATGATCCCTGTGGACACAAAAATGGGAAAAAATATCATAAGCTAAAATTTATAATGGCTACTTCGGATACAAAAGGGTCAAAGAAGTAAAAGTTCTTTATAAAGAATTATAGATAAAGTTGTCATTATTGTGGTGAACTTAACATTATAAAGCTGATTGTCCATAGCTAAAGAACAAGCAACAGAGCAAAAAAAATGGCCAATCTTCTATTGATGGTAATTTAGATACTAAAAAGTTGTAAATTTTGTAATATGAAGATGACAAGGAAGACTAATCTGGGTGGAGGGAGAAGCTTTTAATTGCTTGTCAATTCAACTGTGTGTGAAACAAAATGGAACTCAAGGACATTCTTGCATTAACTTTAATGCTAAAGAGGTGGGGATTGAGAAAGAAAACTTAAGAATCTGTGAAAAGATAGTAATACACTATTATTTATGTAGTGAGTAATTGAAACCAAGTAAAACTAAATAAGAGTTAGTACAATAAAAGTAAACTTTAAATTTAACTATGGCCAAAGTAAAAGTAAACTAGCAAATTAGAAAAGAAAGATTTGTGGCTTATGAATTCTTCTTGGATTTTGTGAATTGAATTTCTTAGTTTTATAAAAATTTAAAAGTTTACTCTAGATCCATGCATATAACATTAACTTTAAAATATAAATATTGAAAAAAATACTTTAAAAATACTCATTTCCTTACTTTGAAAACCATAATAAAGATTCACTTTGAAATCTTTATTATATACTTAAAATAGACATGGGCACCTTAACTCCCCTTTAGAAAGAATAGATGATTAATAAGCTTTCAAGTGGAGCACCATTTTATTTAAGCCAAAGGCACTACAATCTATTTTTCTTTCAGGAAAGGAAGTTGTTTTTGAGCACTTTCTTGAGAGGTCTCCTTGGAACTCCTCAAGTTAGTACTCACTAAGCCTCAATCCCAACCCCAACATGTTTCCAAGACCACTTGAATCAATCCCACTGGGGCATCATCAACAAGCAGCTAAACACCTCAAACTTGACAATGACTTCCACTCCAAAGTTCACTTTCAGCATAAATGGTCATCTTGCCTTTTTCAATCTTGAAGGAACTTCCTAGAGGTGCTTTTGAGTTAGAGTTCAATACCCTGCCTGTTCATGCTAAGCCAGTATTTTCCAGCGACCAAACTCGTATTTCCACGTTCTTGTCCAGGAAGGAGAGTATCTGTTGGAACGTCAAAACTTTGCCAAATCCTGTCTGAGCTACGGTCGGCAGGCGAAAGTTGCAAGTTTCTTCCAAGAACGCGGTGGTGATAGAGCAATTCTCACAGTGGACAGGTCATATTGTCATGGAATTGTCTGTAACAATGAGTCCGGTTCCTTTAAGCTCGAGCTCTCCAGATTTGCCTACATTGATCTTCAGTTTCTCAGTCATGCTACCGTTCTTGATGAGCGCTTCAGTGGCCTCCCATACTACTGTTCCTGTGCTTGAAGCCAAGCTCATCGCTTGTGTGGAATCCAAATGCAAAAGTGTTGTTAAAGCTTGTCTCCCAGTCCAATCCCCTTGCAATTCAGGACCAGGAGCATCAGTAGAACTAGCGTCATTAGTTTTGCCACCATCAGGCAAAAACTTCTTGTTCTTTCTCCTGCAAATGAAACTCACTAAAGTATTTGAGTTTTACTTGGTCGATGTCAACTATAAGATATCCTCCATGATTTTTCATATCCTTCTGATTTTTGCTACGAATTCATGGCATTAAAAACAATTGAAAAACAACTGATCATACCTCACAAGAACTTCTTGTGTTTCTAACATAATAGTAGTATACTTAGAAAGAGTATCCTTAGCAAAGTTAACCTGAAAGTAGATGACTTTCACAGCGATTGACTTGGGCTTTGATCAATTCAATCCAGGAACATAACTCCAACGAAATAATCACATAGCTTAAAACGACAGAATTGCAAAAAAGAAGAAAAACTTAGTGAGAGCAAGCTTTGGAGAAACCATGTCAGAAACAACATTCATGAAGCTACTTACTCTCATGCTGCTGCTCGCTTAGACTTACTACAGCAGAGTCCTGGCAGACTTCTTGCGCGGAAGCACTGTCACAACAGGAAGCCCTTGGAGATCACCTGAAGGAACCTTTGGATTTGGATTCGTAATGCCTGAGTCTTCAAGCACCCGGAACTTCAATCTTGCGATCTGGTATGATATAGATCCGAAGAAGACTGTCGTCTGGATGGCAATGGAAAACGGGCAGCTGGTCCAGGTGAGTAAAAATGCCAAGCTTGAGGACTTTCCGTCACTGATGGCAGCAGCTCCGCCCCCTTGTGGCAAACCAATCCCGGACAATGTTGTGCTGAAAGTGCTTCTCTGCTCGAGAACGGAACTTAGTTGTCCTTGGAAAAGACAAGAAAGTTGCATGGCAGAGCTTCGACTCTCCAACGAACAACCTTTTGCCCGAGCAGCAGCTCCGCACACAAGGAAATCCGTCCTTGGGATACACGAGGTTGATTTCCCAGTCTGGAGCATACCAGCTTGTTCTCAACAGTGGTCAGGTACTGCTCAAGAACTTAAAGCTGGAGATCCCGCAAAAGTACTGGTCTATTGCAAATCTGACACTGAACTCCACCATGACTTGCCTGGATGACGAAAAAGGCCAGCACGTCTTGAACAACAACGCTTGCCAGCCTGATTGTTCTCTCAAGTTCCCGGTCGTCTTGAACTTGAGCTCTCAAGGGGTCCTTTCCTTTTAAGACGCAACTGGAAAGAGCTGGGCATCAGGATCAATGAGTTCACAAGACTACGCGCTTGACTATGACGATGGGAATGTGTTGAGGAGACTTACGCTGGACAACGATGGCAATCTCAGGATCTAGAAGAACAAGAGTGGCTCCTGGAGCATCGTCTGGCAAGCCATCATGCTCGAGTGCGACATCTTTGGAACATGTGGACCTTTCACTCTCTGCACCTACAGGCCCACAAAACTTGCAGCTGTCCTCCTGCTTTCACCGAGTTGATCC